GTAGATAGTAGAGGATTCAGTGATGGTAACAACATTGAATGTCAAGGGACAGTGGTTAGATTGTCTCTTATTGGTGATGGTCATAGCCTGGCATTTGTGTGGCGTGAATGTCACTTGCCACTTGTCAGCCCAAGACTGGATATTGTCCAGATCATAGAACATTGAACATGGACTTCTTCAGTATCTGAGGAGTCACGAATGGTGCTGGACATTGTGCAATCATCAGCGATGATTGCTCTCAATGTTTTTTTTTAACTTCTTAACAACAATGCAACCTCGTCTCATCTGCCTGTCTTTTCGATATGACACACATCATTGGATATTTATTTGCCAGCCCCTTGCAATCGAGTCTTTGCTTTTCCCACATCATTATACCTCCCAAATTCAACGATGTCACAATCTCCTTTATTTTGTTTTGTATACTGTGTGCATTTATGTACAATTCACTCAGTCCTGCATAGATGGCTCCCTTCTCATAGTTGTCCCTTATCTACTGTGCCTGAAAGTTAACCTTTCCATACTCTCTGACCTATTACTCGTTCTGGAAACTTTAATAGCCCCTGTTGTGCCCTCACCCTCTTTAAAATTTCCCCTAACTTTCCATGCATCTGATCCCACCATCCCAGCGCTGCAACAGCACGATTTAGTTTAAAGCCCTATGGACAACCCTAATTATGGCATTCTCTAGGACACTAGCATGATTCTGGTACAGCCGAGCTCGTCAGAACAGCTCCAGCTTTCTCCAGTACTGGTGCCAATATCCCAAAAATTGGGATCCTTTTCTCCCACAGAAATCTTGGAGCCAGGCATTTACCTCTTTAATCTTGTGGACCCAGTGGCAATTAGTTCTAGCTCGGGTAGTAATCCAGGGATAATTACTTTTGTTGCACTGCTTTTTACTTTATTTCTTAGCTGATCGTATTCCCTGAAGAGAACATTTTTTCCTCTTTTTACCCGAATTGTTGGTACCTACACGGACCACAACAACTGGACCTTCACACTCCCATTGCATGTTTGTCTGCAGTCCAGATGAGATATCCTGAACCTAGGAATCAGGCAAACAAAACAGCCTTCATGACTCTTGATCTTGACCACAGGGAACAATGTCTATTCTCTGACTGAACTATCCCTGATAACAACAGGATTTCTCTTTCCTCCACCTTCTTCAATGGCTCCCTGTACCACAGTGCTATTATTAGTTTGTTCATCCTCCATACAGCTTGCTGTGATCTGCACAGGCAGCAAGAATCTCAAATAAGTCAGACAAGTTCAAGACCTGTGACTCCTTCAACACTACTTCGTGGGTCCCACAAACCCACTTGCTTGCAGTCACAACCGAATGTCCCTGATATATGACCAAACTCAGTGGAATCACACAGAAGGATTGGGCTGACCGCTGAAATACAGCGTCCAATTAATTCTGCTCCTCCCTGATGCCTCACACTTTTCAAAGCTCAGACTCTTGCTGATCACCTCTGAGCCTGAAGATCCTCAAACCACAAACATTTGTTCCGGGTGTCGTCACTACTGTCAAAGGGTTCCAACATCATGGAGGTACAACACATCACCTGGGTTGGCATCTGTATTTTATCTATTTAATTCTTAATTAATATTCTTAGAAGCCCTACTTGTCTTTTACTTCTTAACCTGTAAATATTTCCCTTATTTTCCTTCAATCTGAAAGTAACATGTAAGCGTTAGTAACTATTACCGACCAAAGAACTTATGATATAGGGGTCATGTCACTCTTTTGTGCTGAAGCCCTGATTTATCCTGATGAGAAAAGCTGTTGCTTTTCTTCAGTATTTTTGGAGCTGCATTCACTTGAGCAAATGGAAATTATGGCTTCACATTCATGATGGTGAGAATGTTTTTATATCCAAAGAACGAAGGTGATACAATCTTGAATTGAATTCATGATTGCTTAATCACTTTTATCAACACTAGAAATAACTATACTAAACTTTCCCTCATTCCATTCAATCGTAGTATTCTAATATGAAGTGTGTTTACCCATACTCATGAAAATCGTGCAGAGTTAGACCTGAAAACGATTAACTTAACTCTGGTGAACATGACATATTCTGGATTCTACATATGATGTAATCCTTAAATGTACTTGTTATGCCGATCTGATTCTGGACTGCCAGAATGTGGCTTAGCTGAACTCGACCAGATATCACCAGGTATCACTGAATCTCGCCATTCAAGTAGGAAATTCTAAAAATGAATGCAATTGTCAGTAACTGTATATGTTCACATTGAATACTATTGTGCTGTCCTGCGCAAAGTGTAGGGTCAGTGTTCCAACATTCCATATAACGATAAGGATTGTGCATGCTCATATTGATGGTTTTCATAACTACATGGGCCTCTACTCGAGACTATAACAGTGCTTAATTTTATCTGTGTGCAATGATTACAGAGGTAGATTTCTTTCTTTTTTTTTCAAATTGAGTATAAATTTGAGTTGAGTTTTCCTTAGAAATTATATATTTAAGGTATCGGAGCAGAATTAGATTGTTTGGCACATCGAATCATCTCCACCTTTCGATTATAGCTGATAGGTTTCTCCACATTATTTCCCTGTCTTCTCCTTGTAATCTTTTATCCCTCCACTCATCAATAAAAAAAATTTATCTCTGTATTATATACACTCAATGACTAGGCCCCCAAAGCCTTTCATGGCAATGAGTTCCAGAGTTTCACAACCCTCTGGTTAAAGAAATTCCTTCTCATCTCAGTTCTAAAGTGTCGTGCCTTCACTCTGAGGCTGTGCCCTTGGGTCTTCGTTTTTCCTATAGTCCACTCTATCCAAGCTTCTCAGTATTGTGTAAATTTAATGGAATTATTCCTTATCGTTCTATACTCCATCGAGTTTAGATGCAGATTACTCAGCCACTCTTCATATGAAATTTGACGCATAAGAAGTCCAGACTGGTAAGCAAAGAACGCAAGTACCTTTATCATACCTAATTTTCTCAAAATTGCTAACTGTAGTTGCTCTGTCTCTTGTTGTTGGGCATTTAATCTTTGATCCTTGACATAGCCTATGAAAAACATTCTGCTGCAACAAATCATCAACACCTGCCAACCCGTAGTTACACTTGTTTATTAATTGCAATAAGTTTAATTAATGCAAAATGTCATAGAATCTAATTAACTCCCTGGAGCCCTGACATAAGTATAACACTCATCATTTTCAAGGGTTCAGCAAATGAGTTCACAGCTTCTGATAGACATGCACGGATTAGTGAAAGGTCTGCAGTTTGCCATTTACTATTCCTTTGTTGCAGTGATCGGAGTTCCAGGTAAATTATTGTAGATTTTAAGTAACTCCTTCATAACTCTATCAAACAACGTAATTTTTAATTAGCGCTTCACCATTTTACAGATACTATTCATCACATTCAATGAGTATCCAGGAACAGCTGCAATGCTTTTACCTTAAAATGTGTTATGTTGATCACTATTTCTTGATAATAATTACCTCATGGATTATCCTATTTGTTGACAGCACTTTGAGGTATCAATGCTTTCATTCATCACATTTAATGTAGTTCTTTCTCCCATTACTAGCGTAGGACCCCATCCCCATTAAACTGTATTGTGTTGTCTGTAAAATCACACTGCTTGTCTAAATATCATCCCATGGCTTTAACTATATATCCTACCAAATTTGCCATTGTTTTCTTGTGACTCTTTGTGGTTTTGGCAGAACTATTGTTTGTGAATCGCTAACAAGTTATCATGGTTGAAAGTAGTAATGTTGATGGTTGACAATGAATATCCACATTATCATCACAGTGTAATCGAAATTCTCTCATCTTGCAGACTTTTTTGGTATGTGGATTATTATGACATTGCAACATTTGGGGTACGTAGTGCTATTGTTAATTTAGAATGTGATGGAACACTCTCGATGGTGGTTACATTGACAGAATTCAAAAATTGAATATTTTTTGTCTAAATTGGGTGAATGCATTTCCTAAGTAAGAGATTTTCAGCGCCATCATTTTCAAAGTACTGTTAAAAGTTTCCCGTTGGTGGGCGAGTGATAATTTTTCAAACACTGAATAGTTTTTTTGTTCTCAATCTCTAACATTGATTGCTTCAGCTCCATTGTCGACTGATATAACATGTCTTACTAATGGTTCTAAATTGATGACTTATTGTCAGGTTTGCTTTCACTCTCAACCTTTGTCAAGGCCTTCCGTTTCTTCTATCTTTCAGTACAGCATGTAAAGCAGTCGAACTGATTACAATTACCGTGTATATTTGATCAAATTCTCATTTTAAATCAACAATATGGGATGAAGTTGACCATTTGTCTTGCTAACGAGTGCAGCAGAGTGTTCGAGTTGTTGCAAGCAGTTTCTCCACTCGATATCATTCCCGTTCCAGTTCTAATGAAGCCCCAAATGTTTCCTATGATTACCAGCTAAGCTCCTCTCATTGCATCTTACGAATGATCGCCCCAGCAAAGTTGCAGAAACACAAATTTCCTTTTCACTTCTTTTTGTGTCAGAACATTTTTGAACAAGTTGTCTATCGGCTTTTTCAAAGTGAGTTATTTTAAGATTTTTCCTTGGGAGGGAGCCACATTTAATTCTGGTAGAGGCAAAAACTGTGGTCATATTAGCTTCCAGACATCGTGCTGTCTCTTCTCTTACTTATTGGCTTTGGCATTTACTGTATTTCTTTTCTGGTTTAATATTTTCTTGTAAATTAGATGTTTGGGTGTTTAGTTAGATGTTCGTTCCCATTTATTATTGACATCTTTCAGAGCTCATGATATTTCTTTCATCTTTGAGTCATTAATGTGGCATATTTTAACCAAGATTATTGAGTAAAACTAATCAAAATCATTAACCCAGCATAAGAGACACTTGTCCACGTTTGTTCAGCTCTCAGCTCTTTAAATTGCACAGAGTCCAGTAAGATGAATGATTTTATTCGAGTCAAATCAGTTACGATGGTATTCTCTCTTTCTCCTGCAGCTAACTTGGCAGTAATTGTGATCTTGTCCCGAAGAAGATGTGGTCTCTCTGGATGCATCATTTATTACTTGCTGTCCATGGCAGTGGCAGATCTTCTAGTAATAGTCACGGCTGTGATACTAAACCGGATGACTGGGATCTTTTCACCTTTTAGTTTCCTATCTATCACACCAGTATGCAGTGTGCGTACTGCAATAAACTTTGCAGTTGTCGACAGTTCAGCCTGGTTAACAGTCACTTTCACGTTTGATCGATTTGTGGCCATTTCTTGTCAGAAACTGAAAGTAAAATATTGCACAGAGAATGTGGCTATAGCAGTTATAGGTATAGTTTCCACATTGTCCTCCCTAAAAAGTATCTTCATATATTTTGCATTTGAACCTGTCTACATAATGAACAAGATACCCTGGCTCTGCACCGTAAAAGATATATTTTATACATCTCCTGCATGGACAGCATATGACTGGTTTCGCTGCATTTTAAACCCTCTGCTCCCATTCTTCCTTATTTTACTGCTCAATGCTCTGACTGTCAGACACATTCTAGCAGCTAATAGAGCCCGTAGGAGACTCAGGACCCAGAAGAATGGCGAGAATCAGAGTGACCCAGAGATGGAGAAACGGAAAAAGTCCATTGTTTTACTTTTTGCAATCTCAGGCAGTTTTATTCTGTTAAATTTATTATTTTTTGTCACGATCTTCAATATCCGAATTGGGAATGCTACTTATCACTCAGGCTCTGCCAACAGTAATTCCACATTTACACTTCAAGAAGGCGGATATATGCTTCAAATATTGAGTTCCTGCATCAATCCGTTTATTTATGCTGGGACCCAGAGTAAATTCAGAACTGAGTTAAAGAAGGGGATTAAATATCCGTTAAGCCTACTGATCAATTTAAGACAGATCTGAATCTGGAAAATCCAAGAAGAATTATTTAAATGCTTATTATTCTTGCAGAACATGCAAATGTTGCTAAAAACTGGAACAACCCCTGATCAAGTCCCCTTCTCAGTCCAGATTCTGTCTATGCCGATGCCCTGAATTGACTCCTGACAGTCCTTACGTGGATACCCACAATTGGTTGAAACGGTTCTTGATGCTCAATCAACCCCGCTGCAATATTTACAATTCCGGCCCTTTCAATGACTCCAGAATCATGACCTTAGTCTGAAATTCATCATGTTTGTGTTCTCCCACAGATTGTGAGATGACTTAACTGTCTCTGTGATTGTAACACTTTTCCACTAACGATAGGCTGCTGACAAAGTTAAGAGCATTTTCGCCAGTTTTAGTAGTGGGTGTTTTATGTACACCCTATGACATTGCTTTCCCTTTTTCTATGGGGACTATCATTTTCACACACAGGAAAACGCACAGAGACGGGGTGGCGGGAGGCGAGAGACAATAATCAGCAATGACATGGACTGTACAACTTTTCTCAACTTCCACTGATCGATATGAATAATGTTTTGGTCATTTGTTTGAGCCAGAGCAAATTTCTTGTGTAAACGAAATTTAATAGACGCGGAAAAAAGCACAAAACTGAGCAAACTACACAAAGATCGAATAGTGCAGTCTTATTGAACTCGAGCTGCTTCTTTTCCAGACGTACAGCTTGCGTGTAAAACATAGTCTGACCAATGATTTATCATTAGATTTATAAAATAGCAAAGAATATTTGGAGGCTATGAAAATGTTGGTGCGTATATCAGCCATATTACCTCCAACAATTTCGATTTCCTTGTCTTCCTCGTTAATTATTCATTTTCTTGAGCAGCGTTCAAGGCTTGGTCAATAGTCAGGCCATGTGACGATGGCAGATTTCCTTCCACAGAGAAATTAGTTACATAGCTGAGCGAGTTTGTTGCTTCCAGGACAAACAGCATTAGTTGTATAGTCGCTGCTCGCTAGTTTTTTTTTTCATTTGGGCCACATTGGGGTTCGAACCCACATCTCAAAAACATTAAGGTGCAGGGCTGGATAAACGCAGCAGGCCAAGCAGCATCATAGGAGCAGAGAGGCTGACGTTTCGGGCCTAGTTTGCTCCTATGATGCTGCTTGGCCTGCTGTGTTCATCCAGCCCTGCACCTTGTTGTCTCGGATTCTCCAGCATCTGCAGTTCCTACTATCTCTCTCAAAAACATTAACCTGGCGATATGGTTTACTAGGTCAGCGAAATGCCCATCAGTGTTGGTTCAATAAAAACAGCCATCATTCTTCTAAATTCTACTGAAGTTCTAATCTGCCGATCTGTTCTTGACTAGTCAGCCTATTCATCCCAGCAATCATCCTCATCAATCACCTTTAAATTGAAATCAATGCCGGCATGTCCTGTCTTGACTCGAGGGACAAAAACTGTAAACACTTTTCATCGAGCGACTTCACCAAGATCCTATAATTTTTACAACACCATATGTTTAAACTACGAAACTCCGAAATAAAATCAAACATTTCATTTGTTTTCTTCACTTCTTGCTGCACTGGAAGTGTGTGTTTCATGTCCAATGTACCTATATTCCTTTGCAGATTCGTTATGTCTACATACTATCATGTGTCATGACACCACGAGGAAATAAAACATTCGCAGATCAGAGATTGATGATTGAACCAGAATCGTTTTCCAACTCTTTGTTTCTACACGTGTTCCATCCACATCTTCTGCCTTTTACCATATTTTTATTCGTTAATTAATCTTTCCCGTTTTTCACCGTATCATAAGGCTTCTCTTCTGTGTATTTATTCCTCCTGACCTAATTTCTTTGCCTCTGGCTTCGTTTCAAACCCGTTATATCCTTCACTGAGTAAACTCACAGAAATACAGAACTGTTACAGCATTTACCACTCAACACTCATCCCAACTTGCTTCACGCCATTCCAGTTGTTTCTCCATTTTAGACCTGGTCTCATTCCCTCTGCACCGCTTTGATCTCTGCTGCGGCATTATCCCTTGCCCGCTATTTTGGTTTTCTCTCTCTCGGCCACTTTGTTTCTCCGGTGCTGCTACGCCTTTATTCCCATTTTGCTCTCAGTCGCTATTTGACACAGTAACTGTTACTCTCCCATAAGAAACACATTAATTTCTGTTATTAACTGAATGAACTGTTAATCTGTTCGCATTGTTATTAAACACTTCTCTTTGTGTATCAGTACATTTTAGCCTTTATTATTTTGTGGACAGCTGTTTTTTTGAATGTCAACAGAAAGCTGGTTCATGTGACTGGAAGTGAGTGAATTGGCCTGATATTGAATAACAATTTCTCCTTACACTGACATCAACAAACTTGCTTCATGACTGGCTTTTAAACAGGAAAACTTGTGCGGGGCGCCTGAACAGCGGAAAATGAATTGCACATCGGACTAAAATCAGAGAAGATGAGAATTATAGTCAACAAATTTTGAACCTGCAGAGATCCCAGTGGATTTCAAATCAATCGGTCATGACTACATGATACACAAGGCTGCCAATATTGTTGAAGTAAAATTATAGGACTTTACAACAGTGTAAGTGACCAATCCACCCATTATTTCCGTATTGTACCACAGTAGCAACAGCTCAGCCAGTCTTATGTCCCCTGTCTTTTCCCGCTTCCCTGCAGTGTATATTTATCTTTCCTCGTTCTTGCGCTCAGGAAGAAACAGTAGAGCCTTCACTGGATTCAGTTCCAGCTGCTGAGAACTCCTGCAGTTTTCTCAATACTCGGTCCATTGTTGATTGCTGAGTGCTTCTCACTGATGGAAGAGCGTTGCTCTGCTTTTCCTGGCTCTTCATTGCGCTATTAGATTTGTCCAATAGGTCAAAACGCAACAGTCTCATCACCTCCCCATGTTCTCAACTCCAGAGCGAACAGACTCATCACACCGAATGCCTCCTCTTGAGATATATGCTTCATCTCAGGAATCAATGCAGTGAACCCTGTTCCCACCCGGACGGGGAATGAGTACAGAGAACTGTCAGCGCAGAATAAGGCCATTCGGAACTGCTCAATGTTTTGAAAGGACGGCTGGGATTGATTGATCGGGAGTAATGGGTGTACCAATGAAAATAGTGGATAGTAATATATAACATGTCATCACCCATATCCCGCCTACCACCACTGCCTGTACAGCTTTCCGACCTCACACAGGCCTTCTCTGTTTTCTTTCACATGCCCACTCTGCCTCTGTATTTGTTGTCGACTTATTCCCTCGGTGACATTTCCAGATCCGTTTTCAAACCTGCACTGTCATTGATTCTGGCTGAACAGTTTGGAATTTTCAATTCATTAAAAAAACAAGATCGATGCAATCATTACGAAAGTACAGAAAACCTTTTTTCTCAGAGTCCAGCTATTGACGTAGGTTGTAGTATTTGGGAGCACCAGAAAGTGACAAACTTATCTGTGGTGGAACTGCCCTGAAACGGCAAACTGGCTAAAGTGAGGATGGTTGGTGGATTTGAGGGAGGTTTGGCTCGAACTTCTTCTTGATTCTATGCTTTGGATTTGGTGCTTTCAGTGTTGTAACTCGGGTTACAATGAACTTGATTTCCAATCCTAACCGAAACCAGGTCTGGCAGCTTCTGTGGAGTAAGAAATGGAATAAATCCACCGCTGCTTGATAGTTCAAAGGAGGTGGAAAAGACAATGGGTATCAAGAGAGAAAACAAATAAAGGGAAGTGAAATGACAGAAGGAACTTCTGTGACAGTTTACAAAGTGCGAGAGATTAATTCACTGTGAAGGGACGATAGCGCAGGGTAAAATGTGGGTAAAGGTATGAGACAAGATTTTTCCTCTGCTGTTCAAACTGGCACGAATTTCATTGTAAATCGATAAACCATTTTTTTTCGTTTGTTCAGAATCCGGATCGAATTGTCTCTTTCTGTGTTGGAACTTTCTAGAATTCTTTCATGCTGATCGCCACTGCTGCTGCCTTCACAGTCATTCCATAACCTAACAATCCATTCCAGCAAAATGTACCTCCCTCTGTTGTGACCAATTCGAGGTTTGAAAGCAGATTTGCTGACTGAGATTTTCAATGGTGCTAGGTTGTAACTGTAGCTCGCATTGTCGGACCGGCCATCGTTAGCTTTTGCATTTTCTGTACCCTCCTGTGGGGCACCTGCTGAATATGTGTGAAACACAGACGGTAGGAATGTGGTAAATGTTCAGCAGTGCAGGCAGCGTCTGCAGAGTGAGAGACAGAGATTGGAGACTTACTTGTTAACTTATTGGAGCTGTCCTCTTAACGGTCAACAACGATTACCTCATGAATTGGTGAAGCAGGATCGAGGGTGCAATAGACCTGTTCCATGTCTTCGGCTCATGTTAAATCACAATGATTGCAGCGGGCCAATCCATCAGCAACACAATAGCTCAGTGGTTCACACTGCTGCCTCACAACCCCAGGGACCCGGGTTCAATTCCACCCTTGGGCGATTGTCTGTGTGGAGTTTGCACATTCTCCCCGTGTCTGTGTGGGTTTTCTCCGGGTGCTCCGGTTTCCTCCCACAGTCCAAAGATGTGCAGGTTAGGTGGATTGACCATGCTGAATTGCCGTAGTGCTCAGGGATGTGCAGATTAGCTGTCTGGGAGGGATGCTGCGAGGGTCAGTGTGGATTTGTTGGGCTGAAGGACCTGTTTCCACACTGTAAGTATTCTGTGATGAGCTAAAAGGAGTAGAGACGTGACAATGCAACCGAGCGATTTAAGGTGCTGGATTCATATTCCACCCTCTGTGGAGTCATGCATTTAAGTTCCACTACCACCAAATATTCATCTTTCATGGGGTACCTTCTTTGGTGCAGAAACTCATGCTAATCTGTTTGGGCGGCGGTTCTTGTTTTTGACTCATCGTGAACTAGGTTCTCTGAAGTAGAAGGAACAGTAACCTGAGCGGGCAGGATTCAAACCTACATATTTGCAGTTGAATAGTTTTTAAATCAATAATTCAACCACTCGTCCACGACGATCCCCGTTGCCCTTTGCAGTGAATTTCTCCGACAAATTTCGCTATGGTGATGAGACACGTGAAAAAAACAGCAAGATTCTGGCTCTAGATACACCGTGTGTTATCGGGACGCGTCTTCAGACCCTTCTTCTCCCCCTCCCCCATTTCTGAAGAAGGGTCCCGACACGAAACGTCAGCTTTCCTGCTCCTCTGATCCTGTCTGGCCTGCTGTGTTCCTCCAGCTCCACGCTGTGTTATCTCTGACTCCAGCATCTGCAATTCTTACTATCTGTAAGATTCTGTCTCTGCACTCTCCAAAACCCCGCTGCCAACAGAAAGCGGCCGCTACAGCGACTTCCTGCCCATCCCTTGGACTCAAGAAAACCAATTGGGACTAAACATCTCAATACACCGAGCACAAAGGCAGGAAAACGCAAGGAGATTAAATCGCGCTCAATGAGCCTCCGAGCAGCATTTACACATTCCCAGAGTGACAGAGTCACAGAAAAATCGCATCAACTTCGAGAATATTTCCAGTTCCAAATGCATTTGCTTTACTAAAAAAAAAAGCAGCATTCCAGACTTGGAAAAGAGCAAATAAATGCAAGATGTGCGGAAAACAAGGGAAAGCCACTCGCCAGAATATACGGTGCTCATTTAGAAATGCAAAAAAAGCAGTTTCCAAACATATTGAAAGAACGTTGAAGGCAATCAGAATGTCAATGATGTACTAACTGTTTGTGATTCTTATTGTTTTAGATATGGAAGACGCTGGCAGCTTTTTTAAAAGTTCATTCACGGGATAAGGGCGTCGCTGGCTAGGCAGCATTTATTGCGCATCCCTAATTGCCAGCGGGCAGTTCAGCGTCAACCACATTGCTGTGTGTTTGGAGTCACATATAGGCCAGACCAGGTAAGGATGGCAGTTTCCTTCCCAAAGGACATTAGTGAACCAGATGGGTTTTTCCCCAACAATCGGCAATGGATTCATGGTCATCATTAGA